TCTTTAAGCTTCTTTACAACCCAAACCATTCTGTGATTCTATGATATATAACATATATCATATATACACATATATACACGTGTATGTGGTACATGGGACCACAGGGACATGGGTTCCTGGTGGACTTGAAGTGGTGGGTTAAAGTCTGTACTCAATGACCTTAGAGGTCTTTTCCAAACTAATTGTTCCACACTGTGCCCTTTTTCACACTCATCCACCCAACCATTCACACCCCCCACCCCTGTGCCCACCTCTCCCAGCCTAGGAGCCACTGGGCTGGGTCACCTCAACTGCTGGATCTCCAGGCTGGGGCTGGGGCAGCCTTTGTCCATCCCCCAATCCCCCCAGCACTGGCTGCTCCCCCCCTTCCCACAGAGATCAAGGGGACGTAGCTGCTGGAGCAGCAGTGTGGGGGGCTGTCAAGCCTTGGGTGCTGCTGTGCTTATTCTCCCAAAATATATCTATAAAGGGACCAGCATACACATACATATATTTGTATTCATGCATAGGCATATATACATGTACAGACATATCAACACAAATACATATGTGTATACATATATTTGTATACATTTATTATGTAAACAGATATTTGAGAGCTGTTCCCATCATGTTTTATGTGTAAGGCAAAAAATGTAGCAGACCCATGCAAAGTTCATTTTTCCCCACTGAGATCACCCCCAGGGGTTGGGGCTGCACAGTAACTGGCAGCACAGTGGTGGGAGGTTTCTTTTTTCCCCTCTTTGTTAGTGCCTCAGCACTTCCCAAAAGTTTTCTTTTTTTCTGTGGATGACTGGCTTTCACCAAGCCACTCGGGTGTTTCTTACTCAGGACTTCCAGTCAGCGCTGCTGCCACTTCCCCTGCCTCCCCTTCATGCCTTCCCTTCCTGCCTCCCCTCCATGTCTCCCCAGGCTTTCCATCTCCCAGCCACTCACTGCCCACAGTCACCGCTGTTCCCAGCATCTCCTCCCACTTAAGCCCTTTCCCCCAGCCCTTCTCCACCAATTCCTCTTCCCCCCACACTGCCCTGCTGTTCCCAGCTGCTCCTTCTTCATCCCTTTCAGCAGTTTGCTGTTTTCACTTCCCCCCTTCAGAGGAGATCCCTCCATCCACCCCTCACACCAGGGCTCCTCTCCCATTCTCCTGCCCCAGCAGCCTCAAAGGCTTCCAACCATCACTCCTCGAATCATCTGTCTCCTCCCCCACCAATGTCCCCCAGTCTTTAACCACCTCAGACTAGCCAGGCTCTGTATCTGGCTGAGATCTCCAGGGTTTTCCATGTTCCCACAGGGACCAGGAGGAGGGGGCACAGAGAAGGTGAGCGAGTGGCAGCTCCCGCTCACCCGCTGTTGCAGGGCTGTCTCTGCTCTGCTGAGCAGCGAGGTTTTTGCCAGAACTGCAGCCTCAAAGCAAATCTGTTTTTTCAACACATTCCTTAAAAATAAACACAGGATTGCACTTTTCATTCCATTTATTTATTGTTGTTCTTTTTAACAGCGGGTTGGAAACAGATTGCAAGAGAAACACTCATAGACTTTGGTGCTGGGAAATGACTCTGCTCGACCACAGTGTCGCCTACTCTGGCAGCAGGACCCCCCAGCCATCCATGGTGGGTCACTGGGCGTGAATCATGGGGACCACCAGTTGGGCAGGTGACACATGTCCCTCCACTCCACGAGTGCACGGGAGGCAGGCAGGGACCACACCATCTGTCCTCAGATGTGCTCCAAACCAGCACCTCAAAAGATATGATATTGCTGTTACATCATGCCACGACCAAGCTCTGGTGACCTTGCATGTCATCTGTCCAACACGAGCCTACCCAGATGGTTCTAAGGAGCTGAACAGCAGGAATTCTCAGTGATGATTCCTTGCCAACTTTCTGCAGCAGAAGCCAGTACAACAGATGGCCACAAGACAGGACTGTATTCATCATCTTTTCCTAGAGGAAATGGACCTCAGACACTGACCTTTCTGTAGGTCTGTACCCAGCAATCACTTCACTTTACTCCTCTGGAGTGTGATGCAGGAGCGATTTAAGGCATCACCTGGCAGGAGCACAGGAGAGAGAAAGACTTGGCTGAGCCACAGCAAAGTAGCCCTGTGGGATTTTAAGCTGGGAACATCCTTAGAATCATAGAATCACAGAATGATTTGGGTTAGAAAAGACCTTAAAAATCATCTCATTCCAATGCTCTGCCACAGGCAGGGACACCTTCCACCAGACCAGGTTGCTCAGAGCCCCATCCAACCAACCTCTTTTCCCAGGGAACTTGATCAGGATGTTGCATTACTCCAACCTTGCACATTCCAGAAGCAGCAATGGGTGGGGAAATTTCCCTTGAATGCTTGGATGGAAACCAGTATTTTTAATGTGCTAGTGGCACAGCACCATGTTAGTTAGTGGGAACAGCCAGCCCTGGCTCACAGACACAGGTATCTCTGTGCCACTGACAGGCTTTTCTCTTCTTGTCCTAAACCCCTCTCAGTGTCCTACACAGAAAACAAAGCTATAAGACAGAGATGTTTTTTCCCCCAGTTTGGAGAAAATCACCATGTCTGACACCTGCCCAGCCAAGTGACCATGTGCTCTCAATGACAACCACTTTTCTCATCATGATGTTAACCAGCGTCGCAAAAATGTTGAATATGAGACAGACACTGTGGGCCAGGTACCTTGGCTGCTCTGATCCAGTGCAGGGATGACATCCCATCTGTTGCACAAAGGGAATTTACCTCCACAACAGCGATAATTGCTCTTCGATGCACTTATGTAACTGTGAGACTTTTGAATCTGGTCTTGTTTACACCCAGTGCAAATCAGGAAGAAAAAAATTCATCACATGTGGCAGTGTGTACTTAGTCACTTATAATCCTGGACTAGCTATTTCCTTGCTTTATTTTTGTTTTCTTTTCTTAAATAAACCTGCCATAAGAATGAAAGAAAGGAAAATACAAAACAGGGCCGAAGTGGCTTTTAGAAGCTCAGACTGACTTGAATGACTTTCTTAAGGGTTAGTTTTCCTGCCTAACAAAAGCCAGGAAATACAAAATTAACCCCTTCCTCCCAAACAATCCGTGTTTGCACTTGGGCCACAATGTCTTTGTAAGGGTAATAATAGAAACATGAGTGTGAAGTGTGGGGGTGGGAGGTGATGCTTTGATTTGAGCAGATGGGACCCACTGCTGACTCCCTTTATCCCCCCAGGGTTTTAACGGTGTTGCTCTGCCAAAACATGTTCAAGTCCATAACAACAGCAGTGTGAGCCCTCACTCGAGGCATTAAAGACTTCTTGGGAAAATGACTTCATGGCAA